CAGAATTTGCTCGTAAACCAAGAAAAATGGGACTAAACGAGCTTGGAAAATGGAAAGGAACAGAATGGAGATTATTCCTTTTCTACGTTGGCTGCGTCGTTCTCAATGATATTCTATCTCCCACTCTATACAATTTATTTTTAATGTTGCAATGCGCAATGATTATTTTGTCTACACCACGCTTCAGTAGAAATGAGTCATACGTACATTTTGCTCAGGAACTGATAAATAATTTTGTTAAAATGTGTGCACATAGAGGAGTATTTGATAAAAAATTCATTGTTTATAATGTTCATAATCTCCTCCATTTGTGCGATGATGTGAAAAACTTTGGTGTGCTAACTGATTACAGTGCATTTCCTTTTGAAAGTTACTTAGGACAATTAAAAAAATTACTGCGAGCACCAAGCAATCCTCTGCAACAGCTTACAAGAAGGTTAGCTGAGAGAGATTACCTATATGAATACTCGCAAAAATCAAGCGAGTTTACACCAGGAAGACAAGTGCTTGGAAAAAATGAATATAAAATTCTTTCATCCTCTTCATTCACCTTGAGTACCGTCCATAAACGAGACAGTTACTTTCTATATGAGGAAAGCATTGCTACTGCCAAATCTATACAGAAACTTCAAAATGGAAACATTGTCATTATTGCTGACATTTGTGATATAAAAGAAAATTATTTTACTTATCCATGTGAATCTAGTAAGCTTGGTATTTACAATCTTGGAGAAATGTCCTGGAATCGTCGGAATGTTATTGTGCCAATTGAAGTTGTAAAGACAAAATATACGATCCTACCCTGCAATACAAATATGATAGCTATCCCGATGCTACATTCATTTTAAAGTTGAGTATATAATAAAGCTAATTGTGTGTGGTGGTGCATCTATATAATCTATATGTCCTGCATCTATATGTTCCTATATAATCTATATATTCTGGATCTATACGTCCTGCATCTATATGCTCTGCATCTATACGTTCTGCATTTATATGTTCTGCATTTATATGTTCTTATGAGATGTATATAATATATATGTATATAATTTATTCCTGCATTATGAAAATGTTCTTTCCTATTTTCTGAATTTTGTTGTGTGTATGTGTGTGGTGTGAACTGGATTAGTACTAATTTTAATATTTATTTTTAAATCTTTGTTTTTCTTGAACGTTGCTGCTATAACTTTGTATGTATATTTTTCTTTAACCTAATGAGGCATTACATTACATTGTATACATGTAATTTCAGAGAAAAAATATGCTATTGCCGATCTTATTAATACCATAAACGGCGAATCATTTGTTGAAGTAAGTGTTGTTGCCTGGAATTGGATCAGTGATGATGGATCAAAATGTGTCTATCCTACGTATCTACCTCCCAAAAAACAAGCGATTGCAATTCAAGATTGCATGGAGCCCAACCCTCAATTTACATCATATCCTTCAACGATACGTTATTGGTTTGGTGAGTCATTTTGAATGCTTAGTGTTTTTAAACTGTCTTATTTACTATTCTATCGTGCTTTTATATAGCAACATACTCAGAAGCTCGAGCAAGATTAGATCGAGCAACAATGCATACGGATATTGAGTCTGCGGATGACAAAGCAAGCAGGGCAAAACGCAAAAAAAAACAGATTGAAAATGTGTCAGATGAAAATTCAAGTGATACAGATGAAGAATTGGACAAGTACCCAAGGAAGAAAAGCAAGAAGGGTGAAAATGGTAGTAATGTCAAGAAGCGCAAAATCCAACCGCCTCAGTTCCCCACCTTTGGTTCTTTGCCGGGTAATGAAATTTATCTATAAAAATAAATTGTTATTTGTAAAAACTTATTTGTGAAGAATTTGTTTGTAGTACTGTTTGTAATACCTATTTGTAAAACAAATAAGTTTTTTATGCTTTAAATAATCTATTACTTTATTTTCATGTACGTCCAAATCTGATCCAAATGTTGTAGTACTAAAATCTGTTTTAAATCTTTTTTTTCTACTTATAAGTAACTTCTTTAATATATCCATCCTAATGGACTTTAACACATTAACTGATTACTAAACATTGTCTGAGCGCTCTCATAGGATAAACTTATTTTCATATTTCTTAGGTTTTTTTTTTAATTTTCAGATGTTAATGTAAATAAGACAACCGGAAATGTTGAAGTGTCTTCCAAAAAATCTTCAGATGTTGATGTAAATAAGACAACCCGAAATGTTAAAGTGTCTTCCAAAAGATCTTCAGATGTTGTTGTAAATAAGACAACCCGAAATATTGAAGTGTCTTCCAAAAGATCTTCAGATGTTGATGTAAATAAGACAACCCGAAAAGGGACCTCCACAGAAAGACGAATATCAAACAAGCCGGGTCAAATTGTTGAGAATAAACGTGGAAAAGAAAATATTGCTCTGAATGATCAACGCGACCAATCTGGTATTGTTAAAAATAAACGTGGAAAAGAAAATATTGCTCTGAATGATCAACACGGCCAATCTGGTATTTAATTTTATTTTTGCATTGTAATACTGCAATCTATGTGACATATGTGGTTTTGTATCTGAGATTCTCGCATCAATGGTTTGTAATTTCTAGATGAAACCTTTGAAGAAGTGTCTATGACAGAGTTTGTCTCAAGGATTAATAGTACCGTGGAAAAGAGCAAAACTGGAACAGGTGTGTTTTTTACATAGAGAGTGAGATTACAGACAAGTAATACGGATCTTTGCATCATTTTCTGTAGCACACTCAATGTACATTAATGTTTTACCATAAGCAGCATCAAATTTGGATATTTCGAGGTACTGTATCTAGATATTTGTGTATCATGATTCAGGATTGTTTGATAATTTGGCATCATTAAACGTTTGATATGTGTGAAAAGTTGTGTGAAAATGTAAACAAAAAGAAATAGCTTATACAATAAATTATACAGCTTATACAGTAAATTTATAAAGTAATTTTGGATTTCTTACTAACAATCATGATGCACAAATATCTATAGATACATACGTCGTACCCGCCAAAAATATTAAAATTTGACGCAAATTTATGTCTTAAGGCATTAATGCACCACAATATGCACGAATCTGTGGTAATAAATATTTTTATAATAAGATTAATAAAGAAAATACCTTTTCATATAATGTTATTTGCAGGGAATATTGGATTAAAAGGTTGTGCCACGAGTACTCCTAACAAAAATGGTACATTAAAACCAAGTTGTTCTAAAACAGTCGAAGAGAATGGTTAGTGATGTTTTTTATTTTAGCATTGTTATAAGCATACAGAGATATTTTATACTTCTCCTTTTTTACAGCAAATAATGACGAGATTCCAGTCTCACGCGAAGATGATTTTGATTTTCATGATGATCAAGAAAAAGATATGTCCGACGGGACATATGAGCCGCATATGGATACGGATAGGGGTTCATCTGATTGTAAGTCAGTTTGTGTGTACACCCTCTTTATATATCAATTACAACTTCTTTGATTCTTCTTTACATTTTAATTTGGTTTTTCACAGTGAGTTCAGAAGCTGACGAAAACAGAAGTCTGGAGAACATAACTGAAGAGGAAGAACGAAATGAGGACGATCCAGTCCAAACAAATACAGCCGCTGATGGAAGAACAGGCGTCATAGGTACAATTTACTATATTCATGAGTACAATATTATTTGTATAGTTTGATGAATATTAAATTTAATACATTTCTTGGTTTTCAGCAATTTTGAAACATATGTATGAGAAAACTAAAAAAATAGAACGAAGGCAGGAAAACTTGGAAAACAATATCGAGGAGATTAAGCAACTTCTACTTTCTAGAACAGAGACTTTGACTCACCCTAAAGATTTACCAAAGCTGCCTCTACAAGCTTATGCTGATTCCAAACACTTGGAAGAAAAAATAAATCGAGAAGAGTCACAGAAAGACTATGTTGTAAGTATAAAGAAGTTATTAATTATTCAGTATTCTCTGCTTTTTATTAACATTGTCATATCTTTTTCAGATCAAGAGACTGTGTCTAGCTGCTAGAGGGACCAGTGATAAAGAATGCGCCAAGCGAGTGATGGAAAAATTAATGTCCAATCATGTTGGTACCTTTTACAGTTGGCAGGGAAGTGGCGGAAAGAAAGATTCATTTAAAAACACTGTTATGATGGAGACTGTAAGACGTAAGTATCTTTAAATTCTGTTGTGTTTATATTCACTCTACTCTCTGCGTGCCACCAAAACTGTTTTTATCTTTCGCAGTTGCAATAAAGAAACTTCGTCATGATGTGGATATGGGTACTGCTGAAGACGCAATAAAAGACTGGCTCAAATCAAGAAAATTTGCCAAGAATAATGCTATTCTCTTA